GAATCCTGTTTTCTGATTGGTTGCAGAGCGTCGTACGACGCAAATCGGATGCAGTGTGAATCCAGCATTAGGCCTGTTACACAATACGTCGTATGTCGCTGTCGAATGTCGGACGCATGCGCATTGAGTGTCGGGTGTCGCAAAGATTCGTATGTACTTGACCGGACAAAACCTCCGGTTGTAAAAATTATTATTACACAAACCTTTTTATTTGCACTTCAAAACTCTTCATACGAAATACAAACGATTTAGGCTGCGGTCTACTTGACGCTACAAACGCTTCGAAGCGTTTGAGCGATCAATCAGAACAAAGAATTGTACGAATTGACTAATCAAAAAACGCTTCGAAGCGTTTGTAGCGTCAAGTGGACCGCAACCCTAAAATAATAAATTTTACAACCAGAGGTTTTGTCCGGTCAAGTACATACATACATACGAATGTATGACTTTAATGGGCCTTCTACAATAAGCCGCAAGTCAGAACGTCAGAAGTCTTAACCAGTCTTAAGCTGGAAACACAATAGACACAGGCAATAGGCACAGGCAACAGGGAATAACGAGCCGTCCAATCAGAGCTTTGGGGGTAAGTTCGATATTATATCCCAGAGTTTCGATTGGACGGCTCGTTATTGCTTGTGCCTATTGCCTGTGTCTATTGTGTTTCCAGCTTTAACCAAGTCGATCAAGTTGACTATTGGCCAACTTCATCGATTATGACTTAAGATCGTTTAGAACTTATGATTTGCGGCTTATTGTAGAAGGGCTGTAACTAATGTATATTGCCATAGGCATTGCCTATGGCAATATACATACCTCAATGCTTGTGCGTTACTTACAGCCCATGACATATACAAGAACGTAAGGCCGTAACACGCAAGCAGTAAGTGAATTGACCAATCACAGCAGAGACCGTAAGGCTAGTAGCGAATCCAATGTTACGATTTCCTCAGACCCGTTCTACAATAAGTCGGATGACGGAGTCGGGTGTCGTTAGTCGCTTGTCGCGTGTTGTATGTCGGGTATGAATACGACTAGCTAGTCTACAATTGCGTCGCAAGTCGGAATAGTCAGACGTCATGGAAATTGAAACGTTGAATATTTATTTAAATTTATTACTTATTTGGATGCAAATTATAAGACTGAGATTATGTGTAAGAAAACGTAAAAAAGGAATTATAAGAAGATGGTGGGTAAAACCCCATATTACTAGAAATATGAGACAAAATTTTGGTGCTCATCATACATTATTTATATATTTCCAAATGAATAATCACGAAGAATTTTTCAAACTGACAAGAATGTCAGTGGAACAATTTGACAATTTAAATAGATTATTAAAGCCAAAATTAAAAAAACGTAGTCGTAGAGAACCTCTACCAACGGAGATACGTATTGCGGTGACATTAAGGTTAGTTTAACAATAAAATTAAACTACATGAGTATTACAAATAAAATTTATTTTAAAGAATAACCAGCTATAGGATATATATATGTATAATATATGTTTATAGGTTCACTGAATGATGAAAGTGACCTTTTACGTTTTGCAAATTCATCCATTTCTGGCATTACTTTTTTGGTAGACTTAAATACAGATGAATCTTTCAACTGTGTAGGATTAAAACTTGTATTTGGTTCTAAAGATTGCACACTGCTAGTATAACTGCAGCTAGAAAGTGTACTAGCAGGTCTATTTGGGATTTCACAATCTGTAATTGTTATGTTGCTCTCTTGGTCTTCCAAATCTAATGATAATGTGTTCTCTGAAAATATATAATTTATTATAAATATATTACAAATAATACACATATTAAGATTATATAAACCCAATATTAGAAATAGTATTATTTTCATTAATATTTACCTTTTATTGATTGAAAAGATCCACTGTAACTATGATCTGGTAACAAAGTTATCACATTGGAAGATTGCTTAGATGTAAACGGTGAGGAAGTATCTGTTGTACTTGTTTGGGGTAATAAACTTTGTGATTGTTGAACAAATAATGTCTTTGTTCTATAAATAAAATTAGAAAATTAGAAAAATGTAGAAAATAAGTACTAACAAATAAATAAAAGTATAAAAGCTAGATACTAGCTTTCTATGAGCTATATGAGGAACTAGAAACAACATATTTCTATATAACTCCCATTCCTTCCTCGATTCATATCCAGAACCAGACGGTGGTAACATTTGTCGCCTATTCTCTCTGCTAAACATGACCCTTAAAGATGACCACCGTCTTTCGATTTCTTCGACTAAAAACAATTATGTATTATATGTTTTGTTTGTATATGTTATGTAATAATTTAAAAAAACAAACAATTACCTGACATATTTAGTGTATAACAATTTCTCAAATTTTCAGAAAGTTTTTGCCACAGATCTTTTTTCTTCCTAATATTTTTAAAATTCACATCGCGTTTGTCATATAAACAACGATTTTCACGAACAAATTCAATAATAATTTCATCAAGATTTAATGATTCCATGATAAAATATCTAAATCTTATTTAACAGTATTAACAGTAAATATTTGAATAGCCATAGATGTATCCGTCAAAAAAGATTATGTTTCATCCAGTCGTTGTCGTAAACGGAAAAAGATGGAAGTTGACCATCTTCCATTCCGACACCGATTGCCGATTCGCGAAAACTTCATTCGACAGCCGACACTGCAGTGCGCATGCGCATGCGCACAACACCCGACTCCGTCTTCCGACTTATTGTAGAACAGGTCTAGCGATTCGCGGTTGCGACTACGACTGCGATTGGCTATATTTCAATCATGTGATTGCAGTTGCCGCTCACATTCATCGCGTTCAGTTTGTCTTTTCTGGGATTTCAATACAATGAACACAATTTTGCAAAGATTGAAAAAAAGGAAGAAGATATGTGCACTTTTAACGTTCATAACTATTTGTGAATATTACGAAACTCTTTCTCGCAGAAAAATCTGGGTGAAACCATGGGTGGTTAGGAGGAAGAAAAAAGGTTGCCATCATAATCTTTTTTTAGAGTTGCAGTTGGAGGATCCAAATAAATTTCGAAGGTAAATAGACTAAACATAATTTTTCGAAATTATTTTCCATGCATTTTTATTTTTTTCGTAAAAATACCACCTTGTTTGCTATTTTAGTTCTTATTTTTCTTTTTGCATAGATGCCTTCGAATGAGTACAGAGATGTTTGAAGATCTTGTTATTAAGCTAACGCCTTTAATTGAGAAACGTGACACACATCTTAGAGAAAGCATTTCACCTTCAGAGAGGTTATCAGTGACATTGCGTCACTTGGCAACAGGTAAGATCTTGTTATATATGGCTATATCGTCCCATGCTGCGTTTTTTAAGTCACTTCGTTTGTAAATATCACTCGTTCCAAAGGAGGGGTTTGGATTCCACAAAGTCAATTAAGCGGTAATCTAGCTCTTTATTAAATTGTTTTGACATTGTGTATATTTACTACGTGTATCTGCTTCAGTTTCAAACCATTTACAAGCATCACGTGACAATACAGACGCCATATAATTGGTTGCGACTGCGATTGCGATTCGGAAAAATGGACGGCCGACCAAATAGTAGTCGCGA